TGGTCATCCCTATATAGGATCCGAACCCGCAGCGAGAGCGCTACTGCGCTCCCAGCGCCGCACTCTCCCGAGTGCGCCACAGGCTTAGCCCTTACTATTAGTTTTTTTCTGCATATTGAAACAATATACACATTTAATAAATACTATGGGTTAAATATCTCTCTTTAGATAAAATCTTAAAAGTAAGTAATTTTCAAAATTTAAGAAAGCTCTACTGGAAATTACTTGGTTAAGAGTTGTAGAGCTAGGGCTGGAGCTCAGACCCCTCAAGCCCGTTGTCCAGACTGGGTCACAAACCCTTCACACGCAAGTCTACAAGCTATGTAACAGGAAAAGGTCCTTGGAGCCGTGAGTAAAGAAATAATGGGCTTTATTCTCGGACACAAGCTCCACTGACCAGCTGTCCTGAGCCGCTGCCTCACACGCAGAGGACCACACAAACGGAGGACCACACAAAAATAGCAACAAGCAAAAGGATACATGGGCACACATGCGCACTAACTCTACTCCCACACAACTTGTTTACAAAGGATGTGCTGCACCACACCCAGCCAGACCTGAGGTGAGGGGGCCTAACTAAACTACTCTATTTTCCTCACAAGAGTCTAATGAAGCTCAGAAATATTTACTGTGATCTCTTGGGTAAATGGCTAATTAAACAGCCACATGTAAATGATGTTTACCTGTGGGTCCCTGGGCTGTCAGCTCAAGTCAGTCCTTCTCTTGAGTAAATACATCATCAAAGCGGCAGAAACTCAGATTATGTCCCCTTGAGACCAGATAAGATCCACAGCGCCCACATAACCTATTAGGCAATTACATAATTGAGCTGCATACTCTTAAATCAGAAATATTTATAATTACTTTATGTGAAAAAAAATGAGTTGGGTGCATCCTTAATATTCCTTTTCTCCCACGTGATTTCTGTTTCCACCAATGAGAACTTCATTGCAGCAGAGCAGCTTGCAGGTGTTACTTGGAGTAGGTCAGGTCCTGTCCCCCACTATGCACACACACACTGATTTTTATTCACCAGGCAGACTCTTCCTAAATGATGGATTGTTTTCTTGTTGTTATCTCTTGAATACTCATTTGCTGGCTCATATGAATATTTTCCCTTTTCTTTTAATTGCTACATAGATAAAATCCCTTCCTCTCCTTTAACTTAGATATAACTTAAGTGATGATGTTTGCATTTCTCTTTAAACACTGAAAAATTACTTCCAGTGTCCAAGAGGAAGGTTTTTGAAGAAGAGTCAGTTAAATATTTGTATTAGGGGAAAATATCATCTGCTGTATATATCCGTAGCTTTTAATTTCCTTACTTTTCTGTGTCATTATTAATAGCACTGCTTTACATATAGAAGGGAATCTAATTTTACCAAATACTCCCACATTCACTTTCTCTTTATATTTATACCACCCATCGTAGAAATCAGATTCCTTTAGAGCCAGCGTGTTTTCTTTAAAAAACAAGCAGGAAAGACAACCTTGAAATATTAAGATAAACAAAAAGAGGAAAAGAAAATTGCCCATTATCCTATTATCTGTATTTGAGGGTACTTCAAAAAGTTCGTGGAAAAATGGAATTAGAAGATAATGTGAATCTTTCCATGAATTTTTTGAATACCCCTCCTACAAGTATAATGCTGTTGACGTTGTGGTGTCTGGTTTTTAATATATTGACAAACATGGGTCACATTGTTTGTATACATATCCTTGTTTTCTCCCACTTGTTGCAAAGTGAAGAACTTCCTTTCATACAATTAATTACATGTTCTACATAATTTCAGATGGCTTCATAGAGGGACCTGTCCACTCTTTAACCAGTCATCTGTTGTTGAACATTTGATTTGTTTCTAAGTTTTCCTCTAGTAAAAAAGTTTCAAAGAACATCTGTGCAATTCAGTTTTTATAAAAATTCATGATATTTCCTTAGAATTAATTTCTAGATGTAGAATTATTAGGTCAAAAGGTATGTATGTCTTTCAGGCTTTTGCTATGCATTGCCAGATCTTACTCTGGAAGGGTCATCGGAGTTACCAGTAATGGATGAAAATATCATTTCTCTGAGTTCTTTATGAAACTAGATACTCTCAACTTTTTTTTTTTGGCACCAATTTGAGAGGTGAAAATGACTTTCAACATTTTTTCGTTCATTTGACCTTTTTATTACAATTGAGGTCAAACTTTTTTCCTACCTACTTGTTAGCCATTTCTGTTTCTTCTTTTATAATTTGCCAGTTCATGTTCTTTGCTCATTTTTCTATTAGGATGGTAATATTTTTTCTTATTGACTTATAATTTTATAATTTTTTTCTTACTGACTTTTTATGTAATTTTGTACATTTTGTTATAATATTTTTAGCAGCTTGATTGCCTTTTATTTTTCTTAATGGTATTTTGTACACAATGTCTTTTCCATTAATATTTTTATCTACCTATTTATGCATTTGAATATCACAATTGATACATTTCTGGATATAAATTAAGAGTCATCCTACATGTCTCGGAGTTTTAGACATAGTAGGATCCATATTTAAACTGAACTTTGAGGAAAATTCTAGTCGAACTGAGCCAGTAATTCTAGGAATACAATTAAGTTACTAAGTGTAATTCAAAGAATGATTTATCTTCCATAAGATCTGAAATATGGAAGTATCAACATTAGTGTTCTGCATATATTGTGTGCCTTGGCATTTAATTTCCAAACCCCTTCTCCTGGTTCCTGCAAAGGCAGAAAAGTGAGGGACTAGTTTGTTGGTATTGACTTTGGCTTCAGACTACTGAGAACAGTAAACAATCTCCAGGTTTCCCTCCTGAGCTCCAAATGTATGTAATTCACAAAGAGCCTTTATTAACAACAGATCATTTAAAACCTGTGCATAGTCCATTCTGAAGCAATATAGAAGGCCCATGGTAAAATTGTTGTCTGGTGGCATTTTTCAGAGAATCAGCTTCAATTTGCAGAGCCCATTCAATACTGGTGTGAGGTGTGTAAAATACCTTTTGTTCCTTTGCAGGTATGGGTTAGTGCTATCAACCTCAGACCGCAAGCTCATCAAATTGGGGGCTTCCTTTTCTGGAACATCTGCGAACAGTACATCTTGAGGATGTATTGTAGATGCTTTTCCTGACTCTGTAGAAGTATTTTTGACTAGAAACCTTATGACTAGTCCTTGTCTGAGGCTGCCTTTTGTTTATGTCCCTGCTTATCATTATTACCTGCTTGTTAGAGACTTATACGAGGGTACTTTAAAAAGTTTATGGGAAGATTTGTATTATCTTTTAATTCTGTTTTTCCACAGACTTTTTGAAGTACCCTTGTATTGTGGATTCCTTTGCAGATGACCCATTGAGCAGATCCACTGCTCTCTCTATTGGCCCCTTGGTCCAGTAGAGTCATCCAACCATTCTCATGTTGTAATTTGACCATCCACCAAAATCTTTATAGTGTAAAATACTCATCTTTGATAATTGTCTATACAGTTATCTTAAAAGATGAGTCCTTTTATAAACATCTCTATCATTTTTGAAATCCTGGAGATGAGTATTGAGTAGTGAAGATAAATGGGATAAAATATGTGAAATAAATTAAACTGGTAGTGCAGTATGCCCGCCACATTGCATACCTCACTGTGGAAAAGAGGGCTCAGCACAGAGCTGGTGCCAATGGTGGTATTCTTATTGAGTATGTAAGGACTTATTAGAAAGACGTCTGCAGTATTATTACAGCATTTTATTCTGTGTTCTTTTGAAGCCCAGTTGGAACCCAGCAAAAGCAAAAGAGGGTCTGACATGAAAGGGATGTGCAAAACAGTGAGTTCAATTGTGTATTATAATTGAGGGACTAGTGAGAACTAATCTGAGTCACTGACAATCCAAAGTGGTTTCAGCATTCAGGAGAGGAGAGGAATGATAAAGTTGTTTATTTGCAATTGCCTAAAAATCTATGAATCTTCCCATTGCCTGCAAATTCTGTAGTAGAAAGTGTAAAAAACTTCAACAGTCCTTCAACAATTTTATTCTTAAAATGTATAAGACAGTGGCTATTATGAGGTCATGTCAAGAAATTATTAGTTATAGCCATTGTATGAGGTAAGTAACATAGAAATAAATATTTGAGGCTCTCTCAAAATGTATGGATTATTTTAAATCTCAGACAAAGAAAATTATAGCTTTTAGTACAGGATTTGGGCCAGTTCCTTTTGTTCATATTTTAAAATGTTTTTCATATATCTAGTATTATTGGGCACAGACAAACTAGATCAGAATGAGTGGAAACACCCCAGGACAGTCCAGAGAACACACAGACAGTTGAGAGATGGCAGTTCAAGGAAGAGGTTTCTACACTCCACCTCTCTCCTCCTGGGCAGATTCCAGAAGCAGATGCACTGCAGTGGTGCGTGTAGGCAGTTGGGATAGTGGCAGTAAGGCAGCCAATGAATGAGAATCAGCCTTGGCCTGGGCTTCAAGGGCAGGACTCTATGCCAGAACCCCAGTATGCAGAAACAGGGATATTGAGCAAGTCATCCCAACAGAATTACCACAACTGGATAAAATCTAGGGACTAGTTTATACAAATAGAAGAAAGTCCCCTTGTCACTAGAAATGGACCACAGAAAGGTCCTGGCTGCAAGGCTAACTTGACACTAAGTCCTTTGGCTAAGAAGACTAGAACTCCTTAAATCCCCCCTCTCCCCCCCAAATCATCTGCTCTGGCTCCTAGGATGGGTTGTGGGTCCAAGAGGCCAGCCGGTCCTAGGGAGGGCAGAAGGCAAGAGCCTTGCAGGGATGTCAGGACCAAAGGCATTGTAGCCTTGAAGTATCTTCGAAGTTGCTTAAGCAAAGCTAGATTTTTTGTGCTCTACTCCAGTGACTGTCTGTAGTAGTGCATCTTCGCCTTCTTCCATGTTAATCATAAAGCAAGATTATTCTTTTCCCCCTTGTTCAATGGATAATTATATTGTTACCACTTTGCTTTTGAACTAAAGATGACCTGTGAGGCTTTGCCCAGTTCTGCCCTTCATATTAACTTGTAAAGTCTCATGTCCATTTTCTGCAGATTGGGTTGGACACTGCCCCATATTTACTGTCATTGTCAGATAGCAATGAAAGGTTACCACCACTACCACCACCACTGAGGTTTCCTTTCCAACTACCTGAGCAAAATGCCACTCCTCAGTAGGATGTAAAAGAGAGATGTACACTGGCAGCGAGACAATGTGAGCAGTGGTTGTCTACTAAAGTCTAACTATTGTTACCAGCCTATTTTCATTTCTTGAGGAAAAAGTGCTGATCTAGAAATTAAGAGACTTGGGTACAAACATGGGTCCTGTGAATTGCTACTTTTCTCCACCTCTCAAGTTGGCTGTGATAAAATCTGTGTCCTCTTGCCTGCCCAGGACACATGAGGTAATATAGGTAAGACAATCTAGTGCCCTATGTAAAAAGATAGGCAGTGTGGCACGTAAGTTTCCCAGCTCCTGGGCAGACTTAGAGGCAAAGTGCAGGCCATTTTTATCCTTGATTGAAGGTTAGGATTTAGATTCAGTTATCTTTTTGCTTAGTGCATCCTCAGCCACAAACATTTCCTGCAGTCTTCTCATTTGGGGGAAGTTCAGGTGTCATTACTGGGAGGTTGGTGATATAGCAGGGTCACATTTTTCCAGATCTTTTTCTCAGTTTACACCAAGTCTGTCTTACACAACTGGAAAACAAGATTTATGCAGTGAACAAGTAAATCTTTCCTTCAGAAAGGAGGTCTGGGGCTCTGATGTTTGTAAGTATCGAAGGGAGGATAAACCAGCCCAGATTCACAGAGCTGGTCACATCTCATATACATACTTCAGAAATAGAGGAACACTTTCACATTACATAAGATTCAGTCCTTAAAAAATGTATTACTGTGAGTGTAAAATATTGTAAAGAATTAAATTATGCTGTAAAATCATTAGATGTTATTTTATCTTGATGACATTTTAATTTCAGTTAAATGTCAGGAAGCAAATTAAATCCTAAGTAAAGCTTAACCTAAAATTATATTTGAAGGCTGAATCTTTGAGACCAAAGGGGGTGTGACTACAGTTTGTTTTTATTTCTGTGTGCTTTCTTTGAAACACTGTAGGCAATAGGGTTATTGAAAAAAGCCCTTACAGAAGAGTGCGAAGACAATAGGTTGGCTATTCACAGTAATGAATCATCCTGCAGCTTGCTATCTATTCGGAATGACAGTAGTGGAATAAAGGAAGCTAAACCCGCTCTGTGGCTCAACAGTGTTCGTGCAAGGAAACAAGGTAACTTATGAAAGGGTCTGTCCACAGCAAAAAGGTATTCAGAGTCAATGCCACGTCCTCTTTCTCAAGTATACCTCTAAAATAACCTGACTATGGAATACTTCTGATTTTAATATGCATAATATGTTATATGTTTTATAACACCTTCCAATAAATATATATGTTCTTGTTTAGTCTAACAGGAATTGGAAACCTAATTGTAGGTCTGTAGTTCTGCTGAATTCTTAATAAAATAAGTATTTATGAGTTATGAAATCTTACAAAACTAATCACTTGGCAGTAGATAATTTTGATCCCACAGATATGAAGATGGTACATTGATTACAGTGATTCTGTAAAGTACAGTGAAGGTTTTGATTTTATTTCATAGAATTTTTTCATAATTTTAAACATGCTTTTTAGTTATAATAGAACCTTAACAAAGTCCAGATGATTAAGAATCAATAAATTTATGCCCCCAAATTTAATAAACAATTTTTAATACCCAGAAATTGTGATTATTTTAGCATTACTGCTTATGATGCTGGAGGAAGGGTCTGGGAGGCCCGGTGGCTGGCCTCAACCCACCCAGTCCTTTTACCAGGTTCTTGACTCTACCACAGGAAAGAATTCAAGAGCAGAGTCACAGTAGAAAATGAAAACAGGTTTAATATAATGAATAAGAGATACAGATTTCACAGAGAGAGTACGACCTAACTCCAAAGACTGAGCAGGCCCTACAGCAAGTTTAACACAAAAGTAAGAAATACACACTTAAAGTTCAGTACAGAGTGCAGGCTGGCTCAAGAGAGTGAGCTGCTACCTCCTAAAAGTAAGTTTAACACAAAAATAAAGCACACATACCTCAGCCTGCAAAATACAAATTGGCCCCAGGAAAGTGAGCAACATCCACTCTGCTGGCTGCTGTGATTTAGCTTTTATAGTTTTGCCATCTAATACATATTCAGGCTTTCTAATGAATATTCAATTAATGGAGTGTTTCCTTTTTATGTAACAGTCTTGCAAATGCTCAGTTGGTCTCAGCCTTATTGTAAAATCAGAGCATTCTAGGTTAATGGTTTGTGGACCCCACGAAGAGCAAGTATATTCAGCTTCTGCGCGCTGGAGCAGGAGATTAATCATAAGAGCATACAAGCTTACATTAACATAAACTAAGGTGGAAAATAACCATATTTATTGAATCTTCATCATCGTGTTATACATTTATGCCTGTAAACAGCCTTCATCATGCAGCTTTAAAGCACCTGCGTCTGTGTGAGAGAAGGTCAGTCTCCCTCGGGAATACCCACTCAGTCATTATGTGGCAAACTACAGATGTTTCTGATTTTACTCTTTTCTTTCCTGTAGTAATTGAATGTGTATCATTAAAATAAGAGCAGGGGGGGAAAGTGCCAGACAGGAAGCTTGCTTGTACCTCAGTTACAAAGCCTGTCTGATAATTTAAAAATTTTACCAGTCAGGCTTCATCGAGACTTATTAAGATTTCTGCACATGTATTACGAGGCTTGTTTAATGGAATCTGAATCATATCATTACTTTTTTTAGTTTAAGAACATCAACAGCAGCAATTAGTATTCTGAACAGAGTTCTATTTGTCATACATCTAAATTTACTAGTACCTTATTTTGTAAAGTGGTGTACTACTTCATTATAAATTCAAAGGTCTGACTTTAAATATTTATACAAGTAAATACACCATTGCACGGAGGTACTGAGGCATGCATCTGCATATGTGGTAGTTACATTGTTGTTTATAAGCAGAAAAGAGTGGCTTGCTTTTATGGCAGTACAATTCATGGTGTGATGATTAATTTTTAAATTCATGTTTCTGTGATGAACTCTGGTTTTGAAAAAAGGGTATATAGTGGAGCAATATATTATGCATCCAATAATATTTCACTCCAAAATGCAGAGGTTTTGTTTTCTTTTAAACATTTTTCCTAGTGAAATGCTTATTATGTTTTTATTCTTCATTTGAGAAAACTCTGGTATTATTTTTATCAATAGGAGAAATGTAGAAGATCCAAACTGTAGATAACCAAGAAGTCATTCGGATGCTGTTCCCTTGCATTTACCTTTGAATGCAGAGGTATCTAATGGTCTCTAAATTTATTTCACTTAAAATTATAGAGGCTTGTTAGAAACCAGGAAATGATCTAGTTGCCCATACTTAATTCTCTTTTCAGTGTTCTTTCCAGTAACCCCTTGCTGCAAGTAGCTAACTCTCCCCCAAATTAATGCAAATGTTATTTCCTCATAGACTTTCTTTATTAGAGAAGAAATAGTTAAGTACCAGGGTTTCAAATCTTTCTTCTCTTCATGCAGAAAGACGTGTGATGTGCTTAGAAGCAATCAGGGCTATTTGCCATTAAAATTTTAAAGGAAATTGTAATTCTAACAACCTACCATCAATCTGTCAATTGTATACAAAAGTATTAGATATAAAAAAAAATAACTTTAGGAGATATGAAGAAAAACTTTGCAAAGCTGTTTATCTTGTTAGAGCATTGCAACCAAGCTCTCATCCTTCTCTGCTTCCCACCCACCCTCAGACCTCCCATGAAGCTCATGTTTGAGGACCTCACGCACCTTGGCTCTGCTTCATATGATTGCTCTGTCTGTCATTGCAGCTACTTTTAACTCTAAGTTCCTGACCATCATTTCTTTTTATTAATGTTTCTTTATTAAATTTTGGAGATTTGGCATGTCGTAGAATAAGGTAAATACATAGTTTGATTTAAGATAAAGTCTGTCTGCCCCTTTATAATAGTTCTGTTGGGGTTTCGTGTTTGTGTATGTACATGCTGGTTGCGTTTGTATGGGCTGCATTCCTTCTAGAATATTCCAAAGAAGAATATTTCAGAGGCTGTCCCCAGTGGATTGAGGATGTAGCAGTTGAGTCTGGGCTTTGGAATCAGCCGTCAGTGTCAGCTCTTTTACTCCTGCTCTGTTTCTCTACTCCACTGAGCCTTTGTATTGGGAAAGCAGACATACTATCTGACAAGATTGTCTTAAAGTTTAAATGAGATCATGTATGTGAAAGTGCCAAGCAGACACTAGACACTCAATACATTATCTGTAATGTATAATAATATTCATTTGAACATTAATAGTGTTATTGGTCATTATCTGTAGTGTATAATAATATTCATTTGAACATTAATAGTGTTATTGGTCTTCTGCACTAGCCCCTGCAATCCCTAGCATTTCCAAACTGGTGACATCTAGTGAAAAGGAACCTAACAAAGCAAACTCAAAGAGAAAAAGAAGCAGGGGGAATGAGGATGCAGTATCACACAAAGAATAATCCAGAGACGAGCCCTGAGAAGGGTGTCTGGATACTCCAGGCTGTTATTCTGGCAGCTGCTCACCTTCCCTGAGCTGGGGGAGCCACTTGGGACCAAGACTTGTCCACGCACGGTGCTGCTGTGATTCCTCCGAGATAGTGCTTCCTGACAGTACTGCTAAATTAGTTTCTGCAAGAAATTGCCACTTGAGAACACAGTTGATGATTTGAATCCAGAAGGATATTTACCTTATCAAAAAGGAATCTTGAGAGTTTCATGATAATTTTGGAAATTCCAATTAGTCCCGTGAGGAAACCCTTAGAGAAAAATCGCAAAGAGCTGATGAAGTGGCTCCTGGGGATCTTTCTGGTCAAGGCCAAGTCGTCTGTACCTGTGAGTGCCTGTTTGCCCTTCGTAACCCTTACGTACTCACAGCTGAGGACATTGCAGGGCACCTGCTCACCAGGTGGCAGGCCTCCCCTGAAGGGCTGCCTTACAGGTATTGATGGGCTGGTACAGCATTTCCCAAAATGTGTTCTGTGCAATGCTCCACCCAGAAAATACTTCAAGGAAAACATATTTTGTGGCTAAATCCTACATGAGTCTCTCTCCCTCTGTGATATGCATAATGCACAGGAGCATATTGAAGACTTTCAGTAAAGGGACCATTTAAAAGTATGAACCCAGAGTTTCAAATAACTTATCATCTGAGAATGGAATCCTTCTGATTAACAACCAACACAATTAATGTTCTGTGGAACATGCCTTATGAAACATACACATATATACGTAGAACATTTTTTAAAACAATTAGTATAATGCGGACACCAGTTTTCTCAGTACACTAAAATTATCTTCAATGTATTCCTGTGGTTCCATTTTGTGGGATCCCCCCTTGTGGACGGGATTGCTTTATAATGTGACTTTGGGTTACCTCAGTGTAACTACAACCTGATGTTATGATCAAGCTACTTGTTAAAGATGTTCCTCAATTGACCAGAAGGTTACAGTAGTAACTTTTGACAGTCCAGAAGTGCTCTTCTTCAGTGTGGGGTCCTTCGTGTGTCTTTAGTTTCTTTACAGCCATTTCAGAAAATATGTAATAGAGAAAGAGGCTGAAGTGAAACCCAGGGCAGGCACAGGAGGCTGGGTGTGGGAAGCTCTGAAGTTTCACCGTTTTCAGAATGATGAAGGTCCTGGAGGTGTTTCACCAGAGAATGGTACAATAGCTGTCTTTAAATAGTTGAGGGGCTGCCACATACACGGCAGAACATTTATCAAGCATAATCATAGAGTGTAGCTCAGTAACAAAAGAACTTTCTAGCTCTTCCTTTCAGCTAAACCAAGCTAACTGTCTTGTGGGAGTGAGATTCTGTGCTGGGTGTTTGAACCATGGTAGGAACCATGGCTCTCTTAGAAGGGCACTGTGGAGGGTCTTGTTTCTGGGACCTTTGACATTCCTTCTAATGCTAAGAGACTGTGATTCTCTATGCTAATGGACTCAAACATGCTCACATTGTCATATCTTTGTTTCTCTTTCTTATTTGCTTATCACATCAAAGCACAGGACTTCTTGGCAGAGGGCCACATTCTTAAAGAGTTTGCTATCACTCCAAAGGCATCTGCCTTGTTAATCATTATGGAGAATGTGAGTTTTCTGTGCTAAGGTTTACAATAGAACCCCCCCACCCCACCATACAAACACCACACACA